TATTATAATTCTCCCAACCTTTTGGAAATTACATTCCCCTTCCTGATGTTTAAAGTTTTATTGCTGATTGCCCTCTAAAGTTTAAAGTTGCATAACAATTCCCTCTCATCGTAATGATCATCATATATAAAATTAAATTAACAGGAAGGTCAGTGTAATTTTCCAAATGTGAGGGGAGAGGTGTAATAAACATAAATCTTAGAGAGTGTTAGTGTAATTTATCCAAAAAAATTATTTTTCGTTTGACTCTTTCGGTAATAAAATCCTACTTCCGTCCCTGAGAGAATGAGCTGGATTGATCTCTTTGCATTAAATCATTGGGGAGTATTACTTGATTTTTAGATCTAGTACTTGAGGTGGATTTAGAAAAATTGTCTATGAAAAATGGTCATATATATATATACATATTTTTATAAATAAAATTGACATTATAACTTATTACAAAATTGACGTCAATTGGATTAAATAACTTATTACAAAATAAATAAATAATAGTAAATCTTCTTAAATCAGCTTGTTTGGTTCCAGTTTTTAGAAAATGATTTTCAGAAAATTCTACTTTTTTATTTTTCATATTTTAATATTTCAACGAATTTTTTTAATATTTTAAGTAATTTTTTTTAATTTTTAGACACACCTAATATAAATACGCTTAAAAAGTATAATATTTGTGAAAAATATTTTAAAAATACACTAAATACCAAAAAATACAAAAAAAAATATATTTTTCATATTTTGGTGTATTTATTAATTTTTTAAAATATTTTTTCACAAATATTTTACTATTTAGATATATTTAAGTAAGGTGCATTCAAAAAAGTAAAAAAAAATACTTAAAATTTAAAAAATATTAACTAAAAACTAAAAAATACGAAAAACAAAAAACTTAGTTTTTAAAAAACTGAATTCAGAAAATTAAAATCAAACACACTGAACATTGGTATTTTGTTCTGTTGAATTTCAAAATCTAACAATTAATTACTTCAAAAAATTATCTTGTTACACTTAATCGATTCTATTGGGATTATATTAGGAATTTATACAAAATCAAATCACATATAAAAGCACACGATACATTTACTAAATTTTTAAGATAATAAGGCTCCGTTTGGTGGAGTTTTTAAAATCTAGTTCCACACTCACTTTTGAGTATGGTGTTTGTTTAGGGTTTTCAAATCATAATTCTACACTCATTTCTCAAAACTCAATTCAAAACATAATCATTACTTTTCAAAACTCATAACCAAACACATAATTCAAAACTCTTTTCAAAACTCCATTCAAATCAATATTTTAAAAATATTTTAATTTTGTTAAGATTTTAAATATTTTAATATTTAAATATGTTACGATTTTTTTAATTTTTTAATTTTTTTAATTTTTTGAATATTTTTAAATATTACGATTTTAATTTTTTAAATTTTAAAATATTTTATAAAAATAAATTCAAACTCTATTTTATAAAAATATTTTTAAATATTTTAATTTTTTTGTTATGTATTTGGTTACGATTTGAGTGTAGAGTTGTGAAAGTAGTATGGAGTTTCGAGTTATGTGTTTGGTTATGAGTTTTAAAAATAATTTTTTAATTGAATTTTGTTTTATGTGTTTGGTTACGATTTGAGTGTAGAGTTATTTTTAAATTTAAAATATTAAAATTTTAAATTATTTTAATTTTTTAAATATTTAAATTATTTAAATTTTTACGATTTAAAATTTTTGAATATTTATTTTAATTTTTTACTTATTAAATTTTTTAGATTATTTAAATTATTTAAATATTTATGATTTAAATTTTTTGAATATTTATTTTGAAAAAAAATTATTTCCTTCGTAGTATTTTCCAACTTGAGGGACCTTAGACATTATTAAAATATTGAATGTCCTTTATGCTATAAAATCTTAATACTAGGGACCTTAAAAAAAAATCCCCTTCTTTTTTTATCTTGAATTCTCTTTCTATTTTACATAAAAAAAACTTATTCATCCTATTAGAAATTACTCTATAGTATTTCATTTTTTTATGTATATATAATTTATATATCATAAACACATACATGTGTATTTGTGTATATGGTGAAAAAAAATTGGATAAATTATATTGACACCCCCTGAGGTTTATGTTTATTACAATTCTCCCCACCTTTTGAAAATTACATTCCCCTTCCTGATGTTTAAAGTTTTATTGTAGATTGCCCTCTAAAGTTTAAAGTTGCATAACAGTTCCCCTTCATCGTAATGATCATCATACATAAAATTAAATTAACAAGAAGGTCAGTGTAATTTTCCAAATGTGAGGAGGGAGGTGTAATAAACATAAATCTTAGGGAGTGTTAGTGTAATTTATCCAAAAAAATTATTTTTCGTTTGACTCTTTCGGTAATAAAATCCTACTTCCGTACCTGAGAGAATGAGCTCGATTGATTTCTTTGCATTAAATCATTGGGGAGTATTACTTGATTTTTAGATCTAGTACTTGAGGTGGATTTAGAAAAATTGTCTATGAAAAATGGTCATATATATATATATATACATATTTTTATAAATAAAATTGACATTATAACTTATTACAAAAATTGACCTCAATGTAATAAAGTTAGAGTAATTGGATTAAATAACTTATTATTAAATAAATAAATAATAGTAAATCTTCTTAAAATAAGACTCATATTCAGCTTGTTTGGTTCCAATTTTCAGAAAATAGTTTTCAGAAAATTCTACTTTTTTTATTTTTCATATTTTAATATTTCAATGATTTTTTTAATATTTTAAGTAATTTTTTTTTAATTTTTAGACACACCTAATATAAATACGCTTAAAAAGTATAATATTTGTGAAAAATATTTTAAAAATACACTAAATACCATACAAAAAAAACAAATATATTTTTCGTATTTTTGGGTATTTATTAATTTTTCAAAATATTTTTTCACAAATATTTTACTATTTAGATATATCTAAGTAAGGTGCATTCAAAAAAGTAAAAAAAATACTTAAAATTTAAAAAATATTAACTAAAAACTAAAAAATACGAAAAACAAAAAATTTAGTTTTCAAAAAACTGAATTTAGAAAATTAAAACCAAACACACTGAACATTGGTATTTTGTTCTATTGAATTTCAAAATCCAACAATTAATTACTTCAAAAAATTATCTTGTTACACTTAATCGATTCTATTGGGATTATATTAGGAATTTATACAAAATCAAATCACATATAAAAGCACACGATACATTTACTAAATTTTTAAGATAATAATATTCTTATTTGGTTATTCTATTTGTACTTTATCAATAAAATAATCGAGACAAAGTGGGATCACTAGATAAATGTATTATTTATAAAAAAAAATTGATAAAGGATTTTATTATTCTAAAAAATAATAAATTTGTCCTGTATTTCACAAATGACTTGATTTTATTTAAATCCCAGAATAGAATCCTAATTGAATGTGTTAAGAGTAATATGATAACAATTTAAGGTGGTTAACTATTGCGTTTTTAAATTTAGGATGACAAAATACAAATAAATCATAATTTAAAAGAGTTTACCGTAATTTACCCATACAAAAATTGATCTCAAGAGAGGTTATTGTAATTTGGACAAATTATACTTTAGTATATTTTAAAAAAATAATTATAAATTTATTAAATATTTTTAGAACGTTAATTATTAGTATTAATTAAATTTAATAAGAATCTGTAATTACTTTTATAAAAAATGTACTGATAAGTAATTTCCCTTGTAATTTATTAGATGAGATGATTAGTTGCAAAGTTGCAACCGCATGTGGGCTGTGTCTGAACAAACTCATCAGTTGGGAGTTACTTCCGTCAACTAACGCCGTTAACTCTGCACCTCCGAATCTCACTAAAAGTAGACCCCAAAGATCGACAGTCCCAGCAAAGCAAGTCTTCTTTGTATTTTATTATCTTCTCAAACAAAAAAAAGAGCAGATAAATACATAATTTACAAATAAAGCTCAATTGCTGAACTTTCATGGACTCTTCCCTCAAGACTATTAAACGTTGGCCAACTGGCTTGAGGCATAGGTTTAATGGTCTACTTCCTTTCTTTAGATTTGCTTTTTTCCAGCTAACATAAAACCTTAACGTTACTGACACGGGTTATTTTAAAAAAAATTCCTTCAAAGTTGGTTTTATAAATTTTTTAATTTTTTTTTTAAAAAATATGTAAAATACATAAAGAGGTGATGTAATTTAAAATAAATTAAAATTTTATTTTTGACTTATAACTCTTTTTCCAAAAAACGTCCACCTACTATTATTTGTTTGACGTAATTTACTGTAATATATATATTTTTTTAAGTTACATTATTTTTTAATAAAAAATTAAAAAATACATCAATTTAAATTATTCCAAGCAATTTCTAAGGCCAAGTTTGGCTAACCTAAAAAAAGTACACTTATTTAATTTTTTTATCTTTTTTGGGTCACATCAATCAACATCTCTTCTCTACTTTTTCTACACATAATACAAAAAAAATCAAAAAATATCCTTATTTAGTCTTCCTAGAGTTAGCCTTAATTTGGTGCGCGGAAAATGGCAGAAAACTACGTAACAATATTGAGGCATAGGTTTAATGGTCTACTTCCTTTCTTTAGATTTGCTTTTTTCCAGCTAACATAAAACCTTAACGTTACTGACACGGGTTATTTTAAAAAAAATTCCTTCAAAGTTGGTTTTATAAATTTTTTAATTTTTTTTTTAAAAAATATGTAAAATACATAAAGAGGTGATGTAATTTAAAATAAATTAAAATTTTATTTTTGACTTATAACTCTTTTTCCAAAAAAAGTCCACCTACTATTATTTATTTGACGTAATTTACTGTAATATATATTTTTTTAAGTTACATTACTTTCTAATAAAAAATTAAAAAATACACCAATTTAAATTATTCCAAGCAATCTCTTGGTGCGCGAAAAATGGCAGAAAACTACGTAACAATAATAAAAAAAAAAACGATGTATTTTACTTTCTTTTGATGAGATACCTGTGTTTCGAAATCGAACTACAATTTCCTATCGACAACAGCTGTTTTCATTAGGCGGGGGGGTTTGATTTGGGACACTGTACTTGTTTCATTTCATGTGTCTCCCCTTCCCTTCTTCTGGTCCCACCATTTTCTTTCTCTTTCTTTCGTCTCTCTCTCTCTCTCTGTAAATTGACAGCATAATCAACAGCCTGGAAAGAGCTGTTTGTTGGAGTTGCACTGAAAAAGCACCCAACTGATTGGTGTTCAATGGTGGCATTGATGTAATCTTGAGCTGGGTTTGGGTTTGGGTTTGGGTTTGGGTTTTCCTCTCTCTCTCTCTCTCTCTGCTTCATACGAATACCCATTTCAATCTACGGCTTATACCAAGCATTCTGCGCTCTTTCTGTTTGAGGTAATGCCACTGAGAAACTTTTGACTTTTTTTTTTTTTTGGGTCTGTTTCATGTCACAAAGCTTCAATCTGTAGTTCATGTTTTTCATTTTTTTACATTTTTTTTGCTCTTGTATATTGTCACATTGCTTTAGATAGACATAGATCTGGTGCTTTAAATACAAGGGTTTTGGGCTTGAGTTTTGGGGATTTGGGTCTGCAACATTTGGGTTTTGGTAAAAGTTGGGGTATTGTGAATTTGAGATTTAGAAATCTTGTTGCACTGAAACTACCCATTGTTTGTGATTTTGGGTCTGACTAAACCATTTCTTTTTTTGGGTTCAGAATTGGAGGCAGTGGGGGCATTGGGGAGTTGATGATATCTTCCTTTTTGAGATAGCCTAAAATGGTGAAGATGAAACTGGTAAAGTGGGTACCTCTGGTTGTAGCTGTTGTCCTCTTTGTTTCTATGTTTCATGAATCATCTGCCTTATTCACCCCTGTTGATAACTACTTGATTGCATGTGGATCTTCACAAAATGTTACCTTCTTAGGTCAGACTTATATGCCTGAATCAGTGCAATCTTCAATGGCATTGAAAACCCTAGGCAATTCTATTGTTGTTACCTCCAATTCTAGTGTCCCTTTTCCAGTCTGTCAATCTGCTCGAATTTTTCCAAGCACCGGGTCTTACAAATTCGATATCAATCAACAAGGTAGGCACTGGGTCCGCCTCTATTTTTGCCCTCTTCCAAACTCGGGCCAGAACTTAACTTCTGCTTCCATAACTGTAATCACTGAAAATTTTGTGCTCTTGAACAACTTCACTTTCAAGAACTATAACGGTTCTTATTTGTTTAAGGAGTTTGCAGTCAATGTGACTTCGGATAACTTGATCCTTACTTTCATTCCATCAAACAACTCAGTTGCATTTGTCAACGCGATTGAAGTTGTCTCTATCCCAGATGAGTTGATCCCTGATCAGGCACTAGCTGTATCCCCATCTGCTCCTTTTAGTGGCCTTTCAGAGCATGCCCTTGAAACTGTTTACCGATTGAACATGGGCGGTCCGTTGCTCACTCCTCAGAATGATACTCTGGGAAGAACTTGGGAAAATGATGCCAAATACCTTCACGTGAACGGCTCTGCTGTGAATTATTCAGTTAGTCCTGCGGACATAAGGTACAAAAGTGCAGTCACTCCTGAGGTGGCACCAAATTGGGTTTATGCCACCGCTGAAACCATGGGGGATTCGAATGTACCTAATGGAAACTTCAACATAACTTGGGTCTTCCCTGTTGATCCAAATTTCACCTATTTCATCCGGACCCATTTCTGTGATATTGTGAGCAAGTCTCTGAACAGTCTTGTGTTCAACGTATACATAAACTCTGATATTGCTTTTCCGAGTATGGATCTATCTTCATTAACGAGTGATTTGAGCGTGCCTTACTACAAAGATTTTGTTTCCAATGCTTCCTCTAATTCAAATACTTTGACCATTAGTGTTGGTCCAGATTCAGAGGCTGACATCCCAGATGCAATTATGAATGGTTTGGAAATCATGAAGGTTAGTAACGAAGCCAGAAGTTTAGATGGGTTCTTACCTGTTGAGATTCTCCGCCCTGTATCACCCTCAACAAAGAGCAAGATAGGCATTATAATCGGTTCCATTGCCGGAGCTTTAGCTGCTGTGGCACTTGTCGGTTTGTGTTGTTGTTGCTTGGTGTCCCAAAGATCAAAGACTGCTCACCAGGGGCATACATGGCTTCCTCTACCCTTATATGGAAACTCTCTAACCATGACAAAAATGTCAACAACTTCTCAGAAGAGTGGAACAGCAAGCTGTATCTCATTAACTTCATCTAATCTTGGCCGGTTCTTCACATTCCAAGAAATTATGGATGCGACAAACAAATTCGATGAGAGCTTGCTTCTTGGCGTTGGCGGTTTTGGTAGAGTCTACAAAGGGACCCTAGAAGATGGGACTAAAGTGGCAGTGAAGCGAGGAAACCCAAGATCCGAACAAGGTCTTGCGGAATTCCGAACCGAGATCGAAATGCTGTCCAAGCTCCGACACCGTCACTTGGTTTCTCTTATTGGGTATTGTGATGAACGATCGGAAATGATATTGGTTTACGAGTATATGGCGAATGGGCCTCTCAGAAGCCATCTTTATGGAACAGATCTCCCATCTCTCTCATGGAAGCAACGGCTTGAGATTTGCATCGGGGCTGCTAGGGGGCTTCATTATCTCCACACGGGGGCTGCTCAAAGTATAATTCACCGAGACGTGAAGACAACAAACATACTCTTGGATGAGAATTTTGTGGCCAAAGTTGCTGATTTTGGTCTGTCTAAAACAGGTCCAGCTCTAGATCAGACACATGTAAGTACTGCGGTGAAAGGTAGTTTCGGATACCTCGACCCTGAATACTTCAGAAGACAGCAACTGACTGAGAAATCCGATGTGTATTCATTTGGGGTGGTTCTAATGGAAGTTCTCTGCACAAGACCGGCTTTGAACCCTGTTCTTCCGAGAGAACAAGTTAATATTGCGGAATGGGCAATGAGTTGGCAAAAGAAAGGGATGTTGGATCAAATCATGGACTCAAATTTAGCAGGGAAAGTAAATCCGGCTTCGCTTAAGAAATTTGGAGAGACAGCTGAGAATTGTTTGGCTGAGCACGGAGTGGACAGGCCATCAATGGGGGATGTTCTGTGGAACCTAGAGTATGCTCTCCAACTCGAGGAGACATCATCAGCTCTCATGGAACCCGAAGATAACAGCACGAATCATATCCCGGGAATTCCATTGACTCCACTCGAACCATTCGACAACAGTGTCAGTATGGTTGATGGGGTGAATTCTGGCACTGATGATGATGCTGAAGATGCTGCCACGAGTGCTGTTTTTTCCCAGCTGGTAAATCCTCGTGGTAGATGAGAAATATAATTCCACGTCTTTGTGATCTCATCTCAGCCATGGAATGTCCTGCAAAAAGTTAGGTTGTCCTGGCCTCGATTGGATATCTCCCAAGTAAGGGAACGTTATTCTTATAAATTTGTTAGGTCTATTTATTCTGTTTTTGTTTTGTTTTGTTTTGTTTTTTTTTTTTTTGTGGGGTGATAATATGATCGAGTATGTATTATAATTGATTGCTGGAAGCCAATGGATCCAACAAGCTCGGCATAACTGTTTCAATTTTAATGAAATTTAAGTGATAGCTTCTCATGTTCCATGCTATCTTTACATAGTTCCAAATTTGGTTTTCGATTATATTACTTGTAAAACTGTTTGTTCTGAAAGAAAAGACAGAAAATAAGGCATAATGTTTCATCTTTGTGGATAGAGCCCTCGGCAAAAATGTCCATGAAAAAATGTGTTCTTGTATTAAGGAATGCATAGGGAAAATGGGGTTTCCAAGCTTTCCAAAAGTTCATGTACATGACAATCAGTTTTGGTATGTAAATTATGCTCCTGCATGGTTTCTTCCTCTTCCATATTGTTATTATTGTTATTTTCTGTTTCAGTATATGTTTCTTTAATGTTAGTGAGAATAGATTCAGTACCTTGAAATTGCTGATCTACATTTTTTTATTTTTAAGGGGGAAACAAATTATATTCTTCCAACAAATTGAAACTGCATGGACTTTAGCGTGGAACAGAGGACACATCATTCTCTATAAAGCAACTTTCAATTGTCCATCAAGAAACAGTTGCAGATACTCTTAAGATGAATCAATTGATCATAAACAAGAAAAGAAATACACGGCAAGATTGTTTACATTCATGGCTCATGTACTATTGAATCATATAGTTATTTCAAAATTTCGTAGTACAATCTTTTTACATACTTAGAGTTCTTAGGAAAGTATTTGAGATCATACACAATCTCATTTCCTGCAAACTATTCCATATCTGTTCAATTCTCTGTGTCTGCAATGTTTGTAATTCTCGAGAACAAACAATACTTGCAATCCGCAGAGAGAAGCGATGTTGTTTTGTACTTGTATTCACCTCCAACAACAGGCATTGACACACCGGGCTTTGCTGGATTCTTGAAAGCGGGCACACCTTCGACCTCTGGGGAGAAGCTTAGGAAGAACCTGAACTGTATCTCCAAGTGAACAAAGCAGTCATTGGAAGGTTTGTGGTAGTTATGAATCTTGTCATCTTGTTTGGTTACCGGCCTCATATTGATCGCAATCTCCATGACTCCCAGCAGAGAGAGAATGACACTGTTCTTGCTTGATATTCTCTCCACACGGAGAGATGGCTTTCTGGTAGGAATACCTGCAAGAATGAAGTCAATTAGTATATTTTATTTATGTTTTTTTTGAAATGAAAAAATGTAGTCATGTGAGAAAATTATTATGTGATAGCTATACTTTATCTTATAAGGATGTAATAAACATGAGTTAACATGTTCTATTCGTAATATTTTTTTACTATGTGATTGGTTTAGGACACTACGTAAATAATGCAACGTGTGCTTCGGCACTACTAAATGTGTTGATAGAAATTGATATGATAATTTACTTATCTATTGCTTATCTTTTTAAATCTATGGTCCTAACTATACTTTTGTGTCATTTTTATATTTTAAATTTTAATTTTGTCAATTTTATCTCTTAAATTTTCATTTTGAGTTAAATTGGTCAACTCGTAAAACTGTCATTTAAATTATTAATGAAATAATTATAAATTTTAACTATGCTCACCAAAAATGCTTGTTGTGTCATTTTATGCACCAAAGTTTCAGTTTTGTAAATTTTCTCTCTCAATATTATAACATTTCATCAATGTTTTGTGACCAAAGTAACAAAATTGAAAGTGTTACGCAACACATCATTTTGTTAATTATTTAGATTGTCCATTAAAAATTAGATTAAATTGACTTAAATTGAAAACTCTTAGGACAAAACTGACAAAATTAAATCTTGAAGAATCAAAAGTGACACGTAATGCATATTTTAGAGATAATAAATGCATCTTATTTTATTTTATTTTTAATCTTTCTTTTTCCTTTTGAAATTTGTTTTAAAAAATTATAAGTTAATTTGACAAAAATAAATATTAAAAAAATATTTAAAGTTTTTAAAAATTATTTCCGAGCCAAAAAAATTATATTAAAATAATAAAATTTTGATTTTTGAATTTTTTTTACCAAATTAGTATTTATAAATTTTTCCGCCACAAATTTTGAAAAGTAAACGAAACAGAAGTCATGCATTGGTTCCCAAATACCTCATTTCCATCCTAGGAGAATTTGAGGTGGTCTATGTTGTCCCATTTGGTTGCCTTGACAGAGAATTTGATGAAGAAATGTTAGACAAGTGTAATGACGTTTTTGTTAGACAAGTGTGATGAATTGGATTAAATTTACGTAATATAAAAAATTAAAAAGTAAATGTAATGACGTTTTTGTTAGACAAGTGTGATGAATTGGATTAAATTTACGTAATATAAAAAATTAAAAAGTAAAATTGATACAATTAAGTCTTGTTTGGTTTTTTTTTGGCTTTTTTTTTTTTATTATTGTGAGAGAAAATAATGAAATAATTATAATTTTGATGTGATATTTTATTTTATTAACTTTTTAGTCTATTTTGTCTTTCTGTAACTATTTGAACTTTTTAGTCTCCTAATCCAACATGCCAAACGAGGGCACAATAAGTATATTATTTTCTGTCTCTCAACTACATAATAAAAGTAAATTAGTGTATTCCATCTAGAAAAAAATTTCATCATATAATTGATTTACTAAGACTTATTTTGGCAAGCTAGCTAAAAGTCAGCTTTTGACTTTTTAATTTTTTTAAATTATATCATCTTTTTACTTTTTAACACATTTTAAAAAAAAAATCAAAAAAAATTAAAAAATTAACTTTTAACTTACTTTTTAAAATAATCCTAAGTAATTATCCCTTAAATTATTGACTACTAACGGTTTAAATGTCTGCAATGTTTGTAATTCTCGAGAACAAACAATACTTGCAATCCGCAGAGAGAAGCGATGTTGTTTTGTACTTGTATTCACCTCCAACAACAGGCATTGACACACCGGGCTTTGCTGGATTCTTGAAAGCGGGCACACCTTCGACCTCCGGGGAGAAGCTTAGGAAGAACCTGAACTGTATCTCCAAGTGAACAAAGCAGTCATTGGAAGGTTTGTGGTAGTTGTGAATCTTGTCATCTTGTTTGGTTACCGGCCTCATATTGATCGCAATCTCCATGACTCCCAGCAGAGAGAGAATGACACTGTTCTTGCTTGATATTCTCTCCACACGGAGAGATGGCTTTCTGGTAGGAATACCTGCAAGAATGAAGTCAATTAGTATATTTTATTTATGTTTTTTTTGAAATGAAAAAATGTAGTCATGTGAGAAAATTATTATGTGATAGCTATACTTTATCTTATAAGGATGTAATAAACATGAGTTAACATGTTCGATTCGTAATATTTTTTTACTATGTGATTGGTTTAGGACACTACGTAAATAATGCAACGTGTGCTTCGGCACTACTAAATGTGTTGATAGAAATTGATATGATAATTTACTTATCTATTGCTTATCTTTTTAAATCTATGGTCCTAACTATACTTTTGTGTCATTTTTATATTTTAAATTTTAATTTTGTCAATTTTATCTCTTAAATTTTCATTTTGAGTTAAATTGGTCAATTTGTAAAACTGTCATTTAAATTATTAATGAAATAATTATAAATTTTAACTATGCTCACCAAAAATGCTTGTTGTGTCATTTTATGCACCAAAGTTTCAGTTTTGTAAATTTTCTCTCTCAATATTATAACATTTCATCAATGTTTTGTGACCAAAGTAACAAAATTGAAAGTGTTACGCAACACATTATTTTGTTAATTATTTAGATTGTCCATTAAAAATTAGGTTAAATTGACTTAAATTGAAAACTCTTAGGACAAAACTAACAAAATTAAATCTTGAAGAATCAAAAGTGACACATAACGCATATTTTAGAGATAATAAATGCATCTTATTTTATTTTATTTTTAATCTTTCTTTTTTCTTTTGAAATTTGTTTTAAAAAATTATAAGTTAATTTGACAAAAATAAATACAAAAAAAATATTTTAAGTTTTTAAAAATTATTTCCTAGCCAAAAAAATTATATTAAAATAATAAATTTTTGAATTTTTTTTTTACCAAATTAGTATTTATAAATTTTTCCGCCACAAATTTTGAAAAGTAAACGAAAGAGAAGTCCTGCATTGGTCCCCAAATACCTCATTTCCATCATAGGAGAATTTGAGGTGGTCTATGTTGTCCCATTTGGTTGCCTTGGTGGCCTTGACAGGGAAATTGATGAAGAAATGTTAGACAAGTGTAATGAGGTTTTTGTTAGACAAGTGTGATGAATTGGATTAAATTTACGTAATATAAAAAATTAAAAAGTAAAATTGATACAATTAAGTTTTGTTTGTTTGTTTGTTTGTTTTTTTTTTTAAACTTTTTTGACTATTGTGAGAAAAAAAAGTAAAATAATTATGATTTTGATATGATATTTTATTTTATTAATTTTTTAATCTATTTTATCTTTCTGTGACTATTTGAACTTTTTAGTCTCCTAATCCAACATGCCAAACGGGGGACACAATAAATATATTATTTTCTGTCTCCCAACTACTTAATAAAAGTAAGTTAGTGTATTCCATGTGGAAAAAAATTTCATCATGTAGTTGATTTACTAAGGCTTATTTTGGCAAACTAGCTAAAAGTCAGCTTTTTGGCTTTTTAATTTTTTTAAATTATATTATCTTTTTACTTTTTAACACATTTTTTTTAAAAAAAATAAAAAATATTAAAAAATTAACTTTTAACTTATTTTTTAAAATAATCCTAAGTAATTATCCGTTAAATTATTAACTACTAACGGTTTAAAAAAGTTATTTAAAAAAATAAATCAAATTAAATGCCCCGCCCTCTTTAATGGGTTGGCAATTTTTTTTTAGGAGTCACGGCTTCGTTTGACAAGAGGCTATTTTAGTCAATTAGCCAAAAAGTTACTAAATTAGCCAAAAAGCCAACAATCTATACCAAAAAGTCAAAGATTCTCTTTTCTCTCTACTTTTTGCACATCTTTTCGTAATTAGTCAAAAAGTCATCCCAAACATACAAGTTTTTTTACCTACCTTTTTAGCCAAATAACTAAAAAGTTACTAAATTAGCCTGTTCCCAAACAAGGCCATGTAGAAAGTAGAAACTGTCTGCTTTTAAGTTAAAAGTGACAATTGACATTGACAATGAACCTTCCAACCAGGTTCAAAAATTGAATAATCTTTTGTCGGTCTGTAATAACTGGAGGAGCCTTCAAAGCGAAGCCAACACCACATGTAGCTATTGCCCATTTCCAATTCAGTTGTGTTTTAGGAAGTTGGTAAAAAATTAATATTTTGATTTTTTAATTTTTTTGATGAATTTTTTGACAAAAAAGTTGGGTTCGAAAAATCAAAAAACTGATTTTTTACTCTCTTCCCAAAGTGCCCCTCATTCTTGCAATCTTGGGTGGATTTGTTGGATTTCTTGGATACTTTCTGGTCAAATTTTTCTGGTTATTGTAACCTCAATTGCTTTGAAGGTGATGGTTGACATTGCTCTTTTTAGACAACTGTAAATTATTTTTCAATAATATTTATATGTAAATAGATTATTATTTTTTTAATTACTAAGCACAAAAGTATTTAGAATACACATTATAAATACATGTTTTCTCTTCATTTGGTCCACAGAGTGAAAATAAAAAGGCAACGTTTACTTAAAAAATGCATGGCAATTCGGGAAAAACTATGGAATGGGCAATGTTATATGTTATTTGAAAAATAACAAATATTTTATTATTATGATTTTTTATTTAATTGAATTAATCGGAAAATAAAATTTTTAACTGCTTTCTTTATACAATAATAAAATTATCTAAATTATTAATTGAAATAAATTTATGACATCATTAAAAATTATTAATTGATTTGATGATTTATTAATAAAGTGAACTATTTGTTATGAAATTAGAAATATTAAGGAGTGTAATCTCCTCCTTGGGCCGAAGCAACTATCTCTTCTTGAGTCGGAATAAACTCACCTTCTCGGGCCGAAGTAACTTTGTCTCCCCAAGGCCGGAGTAACCTTGCCCTCTAGGCCGGAGTATTCAGTACGGCCTTTTTACCTAGTCCTCTGCGTTTTGGGCCTCAAAACCCAACTCGAAGCTCGGCCCAATTTTTCCCAAAAATTACCCTCTCAGTTGACATTGCTCTTTTTAGACAACTGTAAATTATTTTTCAATAATATTTATATGTAAATAGATTTTTTTTTTTTTTAATTACTAAGCACAAAAGTATTTAGAATACACATTATAAATACATGTTTTCTCTTCATTTGGTCCACAGAGTGAAAATAAAAAGTCAACGTTTTCTTAAAAAATGCATGGCAATTCGGGAAAAACTATGGAATGGGCAATGTTATATGTGATTTGAAAAATAATAAATATTTTATTGTTATGATTTTTTATTTAATTGAATTAATCGAAAAATAAAATTTTTAATTGCTTTCTTTATACAATAATAAAATTATCTAAATTATTAATTGAAATAAATTTATGACACCATTAAAAATTATTAATTGACTTGATGATTTATTAATAAAGTAAACTATTTGTTATGAAATTAGAAATATTAAGGAGTGTAATGTAATTTCCATAACTATAGGGACAATTCGTATTTTAAGTAAATTTCAAGAGATGTACATAAAAGGATAAATATCTAAAATTTGTGCATGTACATAAAAGGATAAATATCTAAAATTTTGAAAAAATGACTTAGTAGTGTTTTGGGAAGTCAGTACAAAGCTGAGTTTTTGATTTTTTTTTGTGACTTTTTTGATAAAAAAGCTGGGTTGTTTTGGGTAAAAAAGCTGAATTTTTTGGCTAAAAAAATTAAAAAGCCAAAAAACTGCCTTTTTTTGTGTGTTCCCAAAAGACCTCTTAATCTTCTAAACAACTTATATTATGGGAATTGGGATTTGTGCTGTGTCATAAGGCATAGCAGGCTATTGTGAGGCCTATTGAGGGCCTATCTCGAGTCTCTTTTTGTGATTCAAACAGTTTATGTTATAAGTTTTATTGATGAGTAGATCTTTCATGTAAAAAATCAAGTTAATTGGACATATATAACATTATAACAAGACCACATTTATGTGTTAAAAAATAAACGGTTAATATGATTTTAATAATTAGGATATGATCATAAGGTTACGAATGCCCGATTGATTTAATTTTTTGTATGGATATCAACAAATCCTACAATATAGACAATTCAAATTATTAAAATAAATCCAAAAAAATTCATGATGCTCCTCAAAGTAGGAATGATGTGTCTTGTGGCATAGCAACAACCCTCCGTCCATATTATGAAACTTCATCGATTAAGAAAAAAAAGTCGTAAAACGTAATGGAAAATATGATTTATAGGTAAAATCTCCAATAATTAATATAAAAGCATGTGTTTCATGTAAATAATTTATTTATTAATTTATTTTTATTTTTTAAAGAAAGAGAGTAAACTATACCGACTACATAATAACTCACAATTAATGGGTTCAATGCGGTTGTTCTATAATCAAAAAAAGGCCTTAAAGTTTTGCGCCAACAACTTTCAGCAAAGAGTTCTCAACCCATTTAAGAGAAAAGGGGCTGGGGGTCGATGATCGTTTTTGCTTTTGGGTTGGAAAAGTGCACTGTTTGGGCCGAACTCCTCAATCCTTCAAATTAAATTAAAACTAGCATTTTCTACTGATGCAAATGTGTGGGTTATATAAATAAATAAAATAATATTTTATTTTATTTTTTTAACCTGGCACAGATAAGAATTTAAAATTCCAGCAACAATTATTAATAATTATTATTATTTAGATTAACTTCGAAGTGATTATGAGATTATGGGTGAATTTTTAAGAAATAATGAAGGGTATCGTAGAAACAAAAAATTTCACTTGACATATAGACAAAATAAAGATTTAAATATACAAACTTTAGAGTTTACTTTATATAATAGTATAAATTTAATTATTTTTAATCATTTAATTATGTGATTCAGACCATGTTTTTGATTGACATCGTATAAAAAAATATGATTGTTTAAAAAACCAATTTAATGAAACAAACCCATATAACAAACCCAAATAATTAAGACAAAAAAGTTGTTTGCAGGTGATAAAAGAAGCAAGTGAAGAAAATATGGATTAATTGAAATCATAACAAATGATTTGATTATTTTAAAAATTAATTTATGATATGAATTCTATTAGAAACAATTCCGAATAATAGAGATAAAGATTAGTAAATGAGGTACCCCTAGAAAATATGATTGTTTGGGTTAAAATCTTATTGTATATGTTACAGTTTTGCCTTCCTCTACTTTTCTTGCATCGAATATACACAAATTGGGTAAATTTTTTATTGTTATCTAGGTTTGGTATTCATTTTCTCAGTTTGGTTTATTTTTAAAAATAGTAACTAATTTGACAAAAATAAATAATAAAGATATTTGAGTGTTTTTTGATTTTGATTTTGAATTTTTTTTCTTTTTTAAATTTTCACCTGAGCCCAACCGTTGTTTCACAATAAATATTGGGCCTACTTCATTAAAGCCCAATCTCTACCTGTAATTCCCTCCACCCAATAATTTCTAATTCACTGAGTTAACTCGCCAACACGACTTCCGAGGCCACACCAGAAAAAAAACCCTAATTCCCAACTCAGTTCCTTCTCCAAATTTTCAAGATCAGCGAATCCATTGCACTCTAACGGTACGTTCCCTGTTTCTCTCACTTCTTCAAGAACTCTCTCATTCACAATTCACTCAATTTTGCGGCAACAAACAGCGAAATTAGGGTTCAATTTTCAAATGTACATTGGGTTTTATCGTTGCATAGTTGCTGCAGAGTTTCAATTAGATTGATGAAATTTAGTTTTTTTTTTTGGATTGGAATCACTGATTTTCGGGAAAGTGAAGATGGGTTTGGAGTAAAAACGTGAATTCATGTGAATTTTATGACTCTGATTTTGTATTCTGT